ATTATCATCACCACTTCATCGACCTTTTAGTTTGTCATGTGATTATCCTATCGTACACTACTGGAAAAAATACCCCTTTTCTTAGACTCCCGTGAACTATTTTGATACTGTGAATTCATCTCACCTCTAGATTTTACTGCCATATTGAGAAGCGGACATTGTCTTGAATTTCTGACTCGTATTTCTTGCCATAAAAAGACTTCCATTCCGGCCAGTGCTGCTTGTATGTCGCAGACGATAGATCCAGACTGTTTGCAAATGAAGCACACAGCAGAAAAACGAACAAGTACTTCATTTTGCCCTACAATATCTGATGCGATGTTTAGATGGTATGAAGCAGGTGTAGCTGGAAAGAAAACTTTGGGACTGAACCAGAAAGCACCGAGTGGGTCTGTAGATCCTGAGAGATTTGTTAAGCGGACCTTTCGTAATTGTTCTCGATCAAACGTCACGCATGAAATTTGACACCTGAGAAAAACCAAAGCTACCCAGTCACGCGAAATTCAGTGACTGTAAAATGCCTTTAATTGAACATGCTAAAACTGTAAATAGCGCTGCTTCTTTTGTTGTTGCCATCAGCAACATTCAATATTCAGAGATTTTCTATTAAAAACGATATGAATTATTGAACAGTAATATTGCTTCAATCTACTGATTTACGACAACTCCCCTTGGGTGAACATTTGGCAACAAACTGTGACTCGGTACCAATAATAAAGAAAAAAATTCCCCTCTCCTTGCAGTTAAAGGCAAATACATTACCTATTCAGGGTTCGTAAAGGCCTTGAAAATCCTTGAAGATGCTTGAATTTAAAAATAAAAAATTCAAGGCCTTGAAAGTACCTGATTTTAAGGACTAGAGCTTGATTTTTGCAATGCTTTTTCTTTACCAATTTTTAAGTTAACAATTACAGTACTTTTATGGAAAAGCTGAGAAATAATATTAAATAATTTCAAATTGTTAATGCAAACCTCTCCAAAAGTGGTCCTTCAATTTTCAAAAACTTGGCCTTCAAAGTCATTGAAAAGTCCTTGAATTTCAACCTTTAGCATCTGTAGGAACCTACTCCTATAGGGTAATATATCATTTTGATTGTTGTCTAGTACCATAACAGCCTTCATTGCACTCCAGCTGACAAAAATAAACACAAGTACACTTATTCATGACCGTCAATGACGAAATTGCGTCACGTCAGTAACGATGGCAATATGGCAGTCCCCTAAAGATAACTCCAGATTTGCGATATTGAAAGCCCGAGTTCACGCAGCTATGCGTCTAGTCTATTTATTGTTACAGAGGAGGGTTCTTCACCAGCGTCTCACTTAAATTTTTTAGCACCATAACAACGTCTTCAAATCGGAGCGTGGCGAGGACTCATACCCAGATCCTACCGTGTAATTGTAACTTGAAATGTAGGGACCTTAATAGGAAGGTCTAGGCACGAGACTAGGGAGGGCTATCTTTTCGAACACGGAGGGGGGGCAGCGCTGTCTTAAAAAGCAGATGGCGAAAGGGGAGGTAAGATGAGAACATGGAAGGGGGCAGCGCTGTGTCTTAAAAGCAGATGGGGGAAGGGGAGGTAAGACGAGAACAAGGAGGGGGGGCAGCGCTGTGTCTTAAAAGGAAGATGGGGGAAAGGGAGGAACACGTTCAGTCAAGAGAGCAACTAAAATAAAATCTATTCGTTTATTTCACTTTAGTGCAACAACAACAAAAAGAACAAATCACACTCAACTAAAAAAAATATAACACGAGAAAAGAAAACTACCAAATAGACTACCAAGACTGATTCATGCCTTTTGAAGTTCGTAAGAAAATCTTCGTTCAATCTCTACAATCGCTGAGCGAGTTTAAACTACCTAACGTACAAGTTTATAAAAATTCTGTTCTTGTCTTTTTGTGTGTGTTACACTCTATTGACTTGGAAAAAAGTATAATTTGAAGTAAAAGCGCCGAGTAAAATTTTGATCTGCTCTAAAACAACGCGAATTAGACAAGTGGGTAACTAGCACTGGTAGCAATTCCGCACTGGTTGTTCTTGTTCCTCGACATCATTTA